CTCCAGCTAATTTAATACAGTTATTCTATCTTATGTCTGGACATTGCTGAGATCTTCTGTTGTTTCTTGGGCATCTTCAATAATTAGATATGATTTCAATAGTTAGATGAATATGTTGTTAATATTAAGCTTTCTGATTGCCTCCTGGTAGATGTGATCAGAAGATGGGCTTCTCTTTTCATTTCTCTTAGCACTCAACTCAGAGTAATTTTAGCAATTGTTAACTGTCTGTGTTGCTCTGGTGTCTATTAGCTGGTATTGCTTCTTTTTTTTTTGACGCACATGGAACATTCTCCAGAATAATAACATGTTACACCACAAAGCAAGCCTCAATAAATTTTAAAACATCAAAATACTACAAAGCATCTTCTCAGATTACCAACCAATGCCATCTACTCAATTGATTCACAGTGACCCAATACCAGACAGAGTGGAATTATTCTCTAAAGCTTCCAAGGCTGTAAAGCTTTACAAATAGAGACAAGTTTAACTTTCTCCTACAGAGCTACCAGTGGGTTCAAACTGCTGATCTTGAAGCTAGTTAAAAGTATAGTGCACTTGCCACTATGCCACCAAGGTTCCTTCTCAGGTCACAATTCTACAAAATTAGAAATGAACAACAGGAATGTCAAGGGAAAGCAAATACATAAAAATGTAATAGCATCCTGCTTAAAAACTACTTGTAGTCAAAGGGATCACAGAAGCAGGCATGTAATCTTGTTGGAGACCACGTTGGTCTACTGGTGAGTGGAAGAGGGGGAAAGGCGTCAATGAAGATATGGGCTGAGTTCGACCATGTTCCATAGACTCCATCGACCCCTCCACTTCTTGCCATGGCCCCTGCACTGTTCCTGGTACCTGCTGCCCTCGCTTCTTTCATCCTTGCCTTTGGCACCGGAGTGGAGTTCGAGCGCTTTACCTCCCTTCAGCCACTTCTTGGAGGGGTCCCGGAGTCTGGTCCCAGTGACACAGAGGGACCCGAGGTTGACTTCGGTGAATGGGGGGTGGAGCCGAAACACATTTGTTGTTTTTGCTGTTAAGTGGCATTGAGTTGGTTCTGACTCACAGTGATCCTGTATAGGGTTTATGAGGGCTGGTTGGTGAGTATGAACCACCAAACTTGCAGTTCAAACTGACCTTGCAGTCCAGTGCTTATCCTACAGCATCAAACCAAGACTAGCACATTTAGGAAAGCATAACTTGTTCAGCCACCACTCTTCTGTCAATTTGTCGTACTGTGGTGGTTTGTGTGTTGCTATGATTCTGGAAGCTATGTCATGGGTATTTTATATACCATCAGGGTCACCCACTGTGGACAGGTTTCAGCTGAGCTTCCAGGTGAAGACAGACTAGAAAGAGGGAGAGGCAAACTACTTCTGAATATTTATTATAAAAAGGAACTCTCAACACCAGAATGCTGAATATTGAAACATGATGAAGAGCACCAGAATATTGTCAGATACAGTACCAGAAGATGAGACTGTCAAGTTGGAAGGCACTCAAATTATGGATGTGGAAGAGCTGCCTTCACAAATTGGAGTTGACCCAGAGGCTACAAATGGAAACAGAATAAAGCCTTTGGAAGCTTCATTTATTGATGAGGCACAACTTAAATTGAGAAAACCAGCTGTAAACATCCATTAATAATCAGAAACCTGGAATGTACAAAGTATGAATCTGGAAAAATTGGACGTTGTCAAAAATGAAATGAAACACATAAACATCGATATCTTAGGCATTAGTGACCTGAAATGGACTGGTATTGGCCATTTTGAATCTGACAATTACCATAATTTACTATGCTGGGAAAGACACATTGACGAGGGATGGCATCGCATTCATCACCAAAAAGAGTATATCAAGATCTATATGCCAACAAGGAAAACCAGTTGATACCACTATTATTAAAATTTATACAACAACCACTAAAGCCAGTGAGGATGAAATTGAAAAATTCTTCTAAATTCTTCCGTCTGAAATTGATTTAAAAAAGCATCAAGATGTACTGATAATTACTGGCGATTGGAATGCAAAGGCTGGAAACCAAGAGGAAGGATTATTGTTGTTGTTAAGTGCCATCGAGTCGGTTCCGACCCACAGCGACCCTGAATAGGGTTTCTGAGGCTGTAAATCTTTATGGGAGCAGAAAGCCTCCTCTTTCTCCCTTGAAGCAGCTGGTAGTTTCAAACTGCTGACCTTGCATTTTGATTCGTAACCACTACGCTACCAGAGCTCCTTAAGAGGAAGGATTGTTGTTGTTGTTGTTAAGTGCCGTCGAGTCAGTTCTGACCCATAACGACCCTGTACAGGGTTTTCGAGGGTGTAAATCTTTACGGTAGTAGAAAGCCTCATCTTTCTCCCGCGGAGCAGGTAGTTTCGAACCACTGACCTTAAGGTTCACAGCCCGATTCGTAACCACTACGCTACCAGAGCTAGTAGTTGGAAAATATGACCTTGGAGATTAGTAATGACGCTAGAGATTGCATGATAGAATTTTGTAAGACCAATGACTTTTCATTGCAAATACCTTTTTTCTGAAAAACTGGATTATATGAAGAAAAATGTAGCATCAGGATTAGAGAAAGACTCATTAACAACTTGCAATATGTAAATGATACAACATTGCTGCTGTAAGTGAAGAGGACTTAAACTACTTACTGATGAAGATCAAAGGCCATAGCATTCTGTATGGGTTGCACCTAATGTAAAAAAAAACAAAATCCTCCCATTCAATGAATAAACAGTATCCATATGAATGGAGAAAAGATTGAATTTTTCAAAGAATTTACTTAGCGTGAACCAACCATCAACATTCAAGGAAGTAGCAGTCAAGAAATCAAGTGACATATTACATTAGGCAAATCTGCTGCACAAGACCTCTTTAAAGTGCTGAACAGCAAAGATATCAGCCTGAGGACTAAGGTGCACCTGACACAAGCCATGGTATTTTCAATAACCTCATATTCATGTGAAACTTGCATAGTGAATATGGAAGACCATAGCATTGATGCATTGGAGTTACTGTGCTGGAGAAGAGTATTTAAAATATTCTTATTTTGACAAAAAACAAACCAATCTGTGTTGGAAGAAGTATAATCAGAAATGTTCCTTGGAAGCCAGGATGACCACACTTTGTCACTCATACTTCGGACTTATTATCAGGAAAGACTAGTCACTAAAGAAGGATGTCATGTTTGGTAAATTGGAGGGTCTGAGAAAAAGAGGAAGAAACCCCCCAATGAGACGGATTGGCACAGTGGCAGCAGCAATGGGTTTATATGTAGCAACGATCGAGATTGGCACTAGCCTGGGCAGAGGTTCGTTTTCTTGTGTGTTGGGTCGCTATGAGTTGGTACCAACAACAAACAAACTTGTTCAGAATGACTGGGTTGTATTAGCAAGTTGGAGAACTAGGCCTATAGATTGGGCAAGACCTTTGATATCATATTACAGAGTTGGGAACCATTAAGGTATTTTAAGCAGTATTTGTGAGCGCCTCATTTAAGGAATATCCAGTTTATGAGTATCCTTAAATAGTTTAAAAGAAAAATAGTAATTTTATATAGTTTCCTGTGGTACTAGACAGAATACTCTCAGGATGATCCAGCATCACCTACAAATGATCTGCTAATGAGATCCACATTGAAATTTCTTCAAGGAATCTGGACTACAACATCAAGTTAATAGACATTATTTCTATTAAGTACTATATATAAGAGGGCTTCAAAAAGATTGTGGAAAAATGAAATTAAAAGTTAATGGAATTTTCCCACAGACTTTTTTTGAAGCCCCCTCATATAGTGTCTGTCTTTTAAAAGAGATTTGAATGAAAGTCCATTATACAAATGGGCTTCAAAAAGTTTGTGGAAAAATTCCATTGTTTTATACTTCCACTTTCCACAACTTTCTGAAGCCCCTTTGGACAGTATACCTGAATAGCTGTAATACAGTCTAATGAAAATTAAAACAAGAGGATATCATCAAAAGACTGTTTGAAAGAATACTTTGAAAATACAAGTTATTAAGTAGGGTTACAGGAAAAGTGACTTCTAAGAACTTGTAACTAAAAGCAACGATGTACCCAAGAATGAATCATGTATTATTGGGGGAAAAAATTCTATAAAATGCATTATTAGGCCACTAACAAAATTAGTAAATGGATAGTAGATGAGATAAAAGTATTACACCAATATAAATTTATGAAACTGGTAGCTGTACAATGCTTACATAAGAAAATATTCCTATTCTTCAAAGACACACACTGAAATATTTAGGGGTTAAAAACCATGAAGAAAGTAGCTTACTTTTATGAGAGTCAGGAAAAATATTTTTATATAGTTATGCCCATAGAGATATATGTAGACATACAAAGAGAAAAAGAATGAAAGAGGGAGAGAAGGAGAAAGAGCATATAAAAATGTTTAAATGGCAAATGTTAAGAATAGGGAATCAGGGCAAAGGGTATATACCTGTTCTATATCCTATTTTAATTTTGCTTTTGTAATTTTTATGTTTGAAGAAAGTCCAAATAAAATTTTAAAGCACCAAGCATCAAAAGAGAACTTATTTTGAAAAAATGTCTAAGATTACTTTTGGGAAAGCAATATAAGACACAAAAGAAAATTGTCAACTGTTGAAAGACCTAAGAAAGGTGTGGAGAGAAGAAAATTTTAAAAAATCAGGTACTAATGTAAGCTATTAACATTCTAAAATGCCTCAAAAATTCTGAGATACACATTAATATGAAAAATGAAAATCAGGTACTCCAGTCATGATATTTAAACACACATAATATTCAATATTATAAAACCAATACAAACTGTAGGTGGAGCATTGGTTAAATGCTGTTGTTGTTGTTCTTAGGTGCCATCAAGTTGGTACTGATTCATAGCAACCCTATGCACAACAGGACGAAACACTGCCTGATCCTGGACCAACCTCACAATCATTGTACCATGTGAGCCTTGTTAGGGGTCTTCCTCTTTTTCTCCGACACTTCACTTTACCAAACAGGATATCCTTCTCCGGTGACTGATCATTCCTGACAGTATGTCCTAAGTACCAACTCTGGCCATCCTGGCTTCCAATGAGCACTCTGGCTGTATTTCTTCCAACACAGATCTATTTGTTTTTTTGTCAACCCATGGTACTTTCAATATTCTCCTGCAACACCAAAAGCATCAATTCTTCTATGGCCTTTCTTACTCATTACACAACTTTCACTTGCATATGAGGTTATTGAAAATACAGCAGGTGCACCTTAGTTCTCAAACTGACATCTTTGCTCTTCAACAGTTTAAAGAGGTCTTGTGCAGCAGATTTGTCTAATGCAATACATAGTTTGATTTCTCCACTGCTGCTCCCATGAGTGTTGAAGGTTGATCCAAGTAATCTGAAGTCATTGATTACTTCAATCTTTTCTCTACTTATATGCATGCTATTTATTGGTCCAGTGGTGAGGATTTTTGTTTTCTTTACCTTGAGGTGCAACCCATACCGAAGCCTGTGGTCTTTGATCTTCATCAGTTAAGTATTTTAAGTCCTCTTCACTTTCATCAAGCAAGGTTGTATCATCTGCATATCGCAGGTTGGTAATGAGCCTTCTTCCAATCCGGATACCACGTTATAAGTGCTGTTCTAGTCAGAAGGTTGGTAGTTCAGACACACCCAATGGTGCCTTAAAAGACAAGGCTCACTATCTAAAATATCACAGCCTTGAAAACTCTATAGAACAGTTCTACTCTGCATACAGTGTCACCATGAGTCAGATTCAATTTGATGGTAATTAACAACAATGATGCAAATTAAAATTAATTTTGCTTAAAAATAAGAGCATACTAACACCTTTTATACAAAGTACCTAACACTCAATTGGAATGACTGCTTATTTAAAAAAAAAAAAAAAAAAAAAGCCCTACCTTCTTATATTTACACAATTCTCACAAACTGGTTTATTCATTGTTTCCAAGCAATGCCAGTACTCTAATATGGAT